TACAGCCTCAAAGCCACCCATTCATCTCAACTGAGATGGTTCTCAGCTGAACAACACCATCCCATTAAAATGACTGCAGCATGGCACATTCACTCTCAGGTAGGCAAACAGCTCATCTCAGCAGATGTCTTCAACCCCCTCCTCCAGCATTAATGCTTGTGAGCCAATCTATTCTTACCATTCAAAGGGCAACAGAAGTGCATCACATTGAGCAGTTAACACTGTGACTTCTGTCACACTTAAAATAAGACGTATAAGCTAGCAACCTTCTTCTCTAGTTCAGTCATCACACAGCCTTGGAAGCATACCACACCACATCCTAGCCATTTATTTACACCACCAAGCCACACTCACCACAGGTGCCCCCTATTCTTGGCACCACTCCATGCAAGACCTGCCTTCATCTACCCTATACATCCCACAAGCCTGAGCTTTCTTGATGACCTGGATGACAGAGTACTACTCCAACTATGCCGAAAGCCTCGATGATTACCGCTCTCAGCTGTATAAGGCGTATATTGCAATACAGCAAGACGCTGAACAAGAGAGAGCATTACACACTTCAGAGTGTCTGAGGTTTGCCTGATCAAAAGTCATGATGCCAACTCCATTTTGGATTTTCAGGTGATGTTAGCATAATGCCAAGTACATGCAGGGTTCAATGCACTCTAACATCTCTCTGAATTTGTACAGGAATATCTCTGATGTTTCAAAAGACTCATAATTACCACAGCTTTTTGTAAAGACTTAGCCTCCTTACTTCCATGTAACTTTATTTAAGAACGTTTCAACTTCTGGCAACAAGTCAGCAAAATATTATTTTTTTGTCCACCACTATTTTCCCCCTCCTGAAGGTTTCTATGTGTGCCTTTTCTTAAAATTCTTTCATGATTATACTTGTTGAGGATCAATGATAGCATGCAGTGTTGTTTGACACCTATACAAGTCAAACCAATGACTCATGTTCTAACAAGTGCTCAACAGTTGTACTTCTGTAGAAGTTGTATTAGCTTTATTACATTTAAAAGATAATCCAAGCATTAAAACATGTTCACTATTTCCAGCCTGCTTCATGATTTCCCAAGGTGGTATTCATCAATGCGGGAACGCTTCATTATAATCCACAAAGTCATTCACCAACTCATCAAGCTCCATCATTCTAACAAATAGCATATGCAGATGGAATATTTGTTTCACTGCTTCTCTTGTTCTACAGCCAGAAACTTTCTATCCTTTTATCCCTTCAAATAAGAACCACTGTTGTATACTAGACATGCACATTGCTACATACTAAACGTGCCCTTTACTTCTCACTATATCCATGCATCACAAGGTAGGTATATATTTGCAGCATATTGGTTTTCAATTCTGTACTCACAGGGGATCCTCCGTTTGATTAAGGGGCAGGGACTGTAAGGC